CTCATTTAATCATTTCCGTGGATATAACAGATTTCTACTCTTTGAATATGAGAAAATTAAAGCAAGATAATCATCGATAGTGAAAGAAAAATTATGACTTGGTTTTCACACATCTTTCATAATTTGATAGATGGGTATCTGAAAGTAGTGTGGTGTGTGCTACTAATGTCGATAGATATAAGTAATATGTATCATAAATCGAAAGTGAATACCCAGCAGCAAAAGGTTAAGATCGGATAGAAGAGAACGAGAACAGAGAGTAATTGGCATGAAAAAGAAGAATCAGTCAAGTTCGAGACAATTGATTGACATTTTTGCAAATGAAGAATTTACTGTATTGTTCTCAGATTTTACTAAAAGATTTTGTGTTCAAATACATTCGATTGCCTACATTTATGTTCTCATTCACCACAATAGTACCTAAAGGCAAAATATTGTATATACTGCCACAACTTAAACGTTTTTGAATTCAAATTATCATACACATTTACAGAGGTTTGATTCCATCAAACACGACTACACCATATATAAATATAAATACAAATATATATGCATGCTTACTACAAGTTAAGTAAAATATACCTAAGTGTTTGTTATTCATTCAACTGATATTTATGTCAATTAATGTCTATTGAAAAAAACTGTTTAGTTGTAAGTAGTGAAGCTGGTTTACATGTCAATGTGAATAATGATGACTTTTATACTCATACCATATTAGTTTACTACTGAATATATGATATTTGATCTATAAAGTAAAAACACGTAATAGTTTTGAAGAATATTTGATATAATGAACTGACATATTTAACTGAAGACAGCTAAATTTACTCTATAATTTTATGCTGGTTATATTTAGTGTACGATACGTAATTAATCCTAGATTTCACAATACATTTATACAAACAAACCTTTGTACTAGAGTTCTAACGCTACCTTGTGACAACCATTGAATGAGAGTTATTTAGTGTTGTTAGCTAATTCATTCATTTAAGTGGTTTACAGGAAAATACATTTTAATACATTTAAACACGCTACATGAATTAGTAAACTTTCAGATTAACCTGTATATATTTCAGCAAACCCTTTAAGCCCAGAATGAACATCAACCCTGTGATGCAGGTATATCCAGCTGACGTGTCCCACAAAGGACGAAACGCGCGTTCTGGATTTCATGGCTAACCACCATCCATATTTGCTTAAAAAGCTTGTGATTTAAGGCTATATAGAGGGAATCCATACAGTATACACACATGCCAATTACAGACTGATCAATTTTTCAGTCTTGAATAACAATCAGGAAGATACAAGCAAAATAACATCAAGTACCTTTAAGCTTGTATTCAAAAAGGAATGTTCATTTATTCTACGTCTAATTCATGTCATATAAATAAGAAAAGTTAATTTTATGTCAATACATTTGCTAAAAAACAAAATCTCGAAAAGGGACCTAATCTAAATAAATATACATTTCTTAAGATACATATAACATTTATCCTATTACTCTCCGGTAAATTAGTTTAATTAGAAGTAATTTATCTTAACTTTCTATGATAATAATTATTATTTCTTTACTGTTATCAATACTAAACGATTAATATTTTTCTAGACAATGCTCTTTTAGATAAATTAATTAGTTTAGATCAGAAACAATTAGTTAACATTTACATATAATCAGTAAACTACAATTACAATGATTAGGATGGTGATATTATTAAAGATGATGTTGATGTTGATGATGATGGTGATGATGATGATGATGGTGATGGCGATGATGGTATTTAACAAAATACCAAGTAAAATGTTATAATTGATAAACTGATTCATACTTGATTCATTAAAATATCATTCTAGTAAAAGGTTGAATGTTATTGGCAAAAATGAAAGTGATGTTCTTTTTTTTTCTTATTAAAGTAAAATGTTTATCTATGATTAAGATAAGCTGAAAGGATGTTATTAATCATTTTGTTTATATGAATACACTTTGTTCTGTACTTGGTTTCACTACTAATATTACTACTACTACTACTACTACTACTACTACTACTACTACTACTACTACTATCAATAATATTTACTAATAAATTGATTATATCATTTTAGCATCCATGTATTGCTGTATGTACAGACAGTCAATGGTTATGAAAATAAGATATTTGGCTTGAAATTTAAACAACAAAAACCTTTCCATATGATGCTCAATATTAACGAATAATCTAGATTATTCAGGATCACGATACACCTTCTATGATGTTAAGTAATTAGATTTAATTGATCAAATGCATTGAATCTAGTTTTTTATTTTAGTTGGACCTAATCACGTAAGACATAATTATAATCCTGAAGGAACTGATACTCCTTGAAAAATGCTCATCCTTATCAATTTAACTCATGTTAAAACCTTGCTAGGCATCGTGTAACGATTATCTTACATTAAAAAACAAACAACTTTTAATTTTTGAGGTATACGTTGAAAAGAGATAAACTAAATTATTGAGACATAAAAATCTACTCGGATGTGTATTGTACTTTTGAGAATCGAATTGTTCGTTCTAAATCACTAACAATGAAGAAAGTATGCCAGATTCATTCAGCATGTTTTCACAGCATAGGTATTTATTGACCAAAACTAGTAAAAAATTTATGAAACTAATATTATTTCTTCATTATCATGAAAAAGTGGGCAAAATGAACAAATGAGTAAGACATAACTCAGTCCTTTTCCTAATTCTTTTAAATTAGCCATTATAAACTAAATAGTATTTGTGTCATTTTTATTTCTATTGTTAGTCTTAGCAACCCGAAATTCTAATGAGGTTTTTTCAGTTGATTGTAACATAGAGAGCAGATTATGTCGACCAATGTAACATGTAGTGATTCTATGCACGTAAGTAAAACGTATATTTATAATACTTCAAATTCTCTCTAAACCTCAATTGTTTGTTATAGATGATGATTTAAGTCTGGTTTAGTACAAGGTTTCATCATTAGTTAGTTCTTATTCTAACAGAATTCTTCATACTTTTCTTATCATTAAAAAAATTTCTTGTTGTTATAAGCTAATTCATTTCCACCAAGTTGAGATACTACTGAAGATACATTAAAAGTAATATATAATACAATGATTGTTTCTAATTCTCATCTTAGTAATTAGTGTGTTTAAAGAATTGTAGATCTAGAATTGATAGAGTTGAGATCTATACACACGGATATACGTTTAAACTCCGTTTCATTTTCAATAAAAATAAAAACAAATATTGTTCGAAGTTTCCGTTGCTGAGACTGGAATTTTTAAATGTAACTAGTGTACATTAATTTAGCGCCATTCGTATAGCCAATTTATATATTATATATAATATTGTACATTTATTACTAATGTGAATAATCAACGTATGTTTACATTTATGCAGAAAATTTTACGTTCATCACGATATATATATATATATATATATATATATATATATATATATATATATATATACCTACACCTGTTACCCCTCATGGAGGAGCATAGGCTGCTCAACAGCATTCTCCACACAACTCTTTCCTTGGCAATTCTTTCCAGTGGCTATTGATCCTGTCCCCAGCAACCTTAACTAATTTTAATAATATCTAACATTAACAGTATATCACTGTGTCACATGACACATGCACTATGGTAGACCTGATTGACATATTTTGGTAATTATTGTGATGGTCTAACATCAATTGGTTCATGATCTCAATCAAAAACTGAATAATCTCCACAACTCCTATACTAGTAATCAACATGTGCTCACCAGTGACTAGCTTCGTGAGGGAATTCTCGGAGTTCTAGTGAGAAGCCGTGACCAGTGGAGCTAATCCTTGTCGGGTAGAGACAGTTATCTGCCTCAGTACAATGGAAGTTGGTCGCGCAACTTCGTGGATTGTTTGATGTTAGAAACTATCACCATTGGATGCTGGCTCAGTGGTCCAGTTGGTTAAGCGTTCGCGCGCGAGACCGAAGGCCCTGGGTTCGAATCCCGTTCGCGGGATCGTGGATGCGCACCGCTGAGGAGTCCCACAATAGGACGAAACGGCCGTCCAGTGCTTCCGGGTTTTCAATTGTGATGGTCTAACATCGATTCGTTCATGATCTCAATTATTGCTTTGTTGTTCAGTGTTCTCTATTTTCGTTCTACTTTCTCTAGTTGTAGATAATTATCATTAATTTGTTCTGGCACAGGAAATGACCTTAAATACACCATTCATTGATCAACAGGTTGTCCACTTAAGAAAAATTAAATGTTTCCGGCTGATGCATTGGATTGCTGTCATACATATACTACCTAAACAATTACTGAACTAGTATACTTAAAACCATCTATCACATGTTTGTTCTCTACATCTAATGTTACTATTTATATCAAATTGAACATGCCTGTAATTTGCCGTTATTATGTCTGCTTCCAATTCCCTATGTGTATATATTTCACATCTTAAATTTTATAGGTTCGATTTGTGTACTTTCTTAGTGTAAACACATTTCACAAAATACTGATCGCTCATAGACTACAATATGATTTTTAGTAAAATTCCCTGTAATTTATAAAAATGAAACTAGACTCCTAGAAACCTCAGCAACAGAAGTTAGATAGCTTGAGTAAATTGTTTAACAAACTGATCAGAACTCCCTAGAAACATTTGTTGAGAATATGAGACTGACTTCACTGCATTTAACTGTAACTGAGTGTTACTTATTTAAGTGAAAAACAACAATTTCAGAAACCAATTAAAAGTGACTTGAGTAAAACTTGAGATCACTTCGACATAGCTTATGTTCACTTTGTCAATTATACATTTCATTTTCTAGGAATAAATTACATGTCTGTTCTCAGTTTACGTTTGAAAGTCTCATCTTCGGATTTCGTTAATCACTACTTAACTTCGAAGAATGAAATTATTAATAATTCTTAGATTCACTTTAAAGATATAAAAGTATTTAATAATCACTTTAAAATGATGGTGACCATTTTATATACCTTTATCTCCTTTTCGTCGTATTCCTCTTCTAGAATTAATCATATTAGATCGATCTTCCATTGTTATTTGTTTAGATACATCTTGATGAAGTAACTTTGTGTTTAATAAATTTTCAGAAAAATCTTCATCGGTTAAATGAAGGTCACTTTGTAAATTTTGAAAATCTTTTGAATTTGTCAACAATGATGATGCTTCTGTTCCAGTTTTGAATTGCGTTTGTTGTCTTAAATTAATCGATCCCATTCGTTCAGCGTCATAGTTAGAATAGTCTCCTAGTGTATAACGTTTTGTTTCATGCAAAGACCAATCACTTTGAGCAATCTTAATATAAATAAACATATAAAAATAATATATATATTTTTATGACTTTTACAGATATTATGTAATTGATAGTTAATCAGTCAGTACATTTTCACGATTGTGATTGTAGTTGTGATTATAATTCTTACTCCAATACATAAACATCATACTCAACTCAGATATACGATCTCAACAAATTTATCATCAGTCTGTATATATATATGATGAAAACTACAGAACATGACTTGGATGTCCATGATTCTAAAAGTTTCGTAAAATAAATAAACTTTTTGTACATCATAGTGCATACAGAGTAAGCTAGTTTTACCATTTTAATGACACTGAGACCAAAAGTCCTATGTTCGAGTCCCACTTGCGGAATCAGGGATGCGAACTGTTGAAAAGTCTCATACAGGATGAAATGTCCATCAAATGCTTCCAGATTTTCAAAGGTAGTCCAACATTGACGCACTGATTATCTCAATAGAGAATTTGTGTTGTTTTTAATTGAGTAGAATGGTTATAATTCTATGATATAAATCTTTTAAGAGACAATGGGAACTTCTTTTTTTAGTGTGATTTATGCTCTATGACTTACAATTATTGTTCTGACTTTATTAAAATTATCAGAATGGGTTTTATGGAGATTTTTTAGAAATTTCATGAGTCAATCGAAGCTAGACCACCATGGAAAACCTGGAAGCACTGGACGGCCGTTTCGTCTTAGTATGGGACTCCTCAGCGGTGCGCATCCACGATCCTTCTGGAGTTCTAGTGAGAAGCTGTTACCAGTGGAGTTCAACCAGGTCTGTTTTGAGATATCAGCTCACTGAAGATAATTGTGTACGGTGGTGCAACTTCGTGGATTTATTAAAATTGTCAATAACTAAGGAAAGGTCAAGTCAAAGATAAATGAAATCAATCTTTTATAATCATTGGGAAAATAATAGAATACAGCTTGTTATTTTCAATTAATTTATAACTGTATTCTTTTTACTCAGTATTCCGTATTATAATTCTCACATTTTATGATAGATATCTGAAACACTTAAGATGACAATTTATTGAAGGTTTAATCAGTTAAGTAACTGCTACTCATTAATCCAAGCCCGATACTAACAGTAAGCTTCAATAGGTATTCAATGTGTACTCCAATACAGGTTTATCTTTAACTACTTACAACCAATTCAAAAGTCTGTTACATAATTAATTTAGAAGAAAGACTATACCGAGCTTATAATTTTAACGTTTAGAATGTGAAGTGTTAAAAGATAATCTTTAGGTTTTCTTGCTTGTTTATTTGATATTAGATTACTTGAAATAATCAGTATATCTCTTGCAATTATCATCAAACTATATAAACGGATTTTAAAAATCAGATGTTACTTCTATCTTTCAATTTCATTGTATTTATATTATAGATAAGTACCTTGTTTACTACTAACTGGTTTTGGATATAATTGGTTCTAAAGTAAAATTATGCGTTCAAATTGATATTAATCAACATTCTCTCACTAGTAACTGGCTCCAAGATAGATTTCCTGGAATTCTAGTGAGAAGCAATGACCAGTGGAGTCCAACCGGGTGAGTTGTGAGATAGTAACCCACTGAAGACAATGGTGGATGTGTCACTCAATTTCATTAGACAATAACACCATTAAATGCCGGCTACTTCAGTAGTCTAGAGGTTCAGCGTTCGCGTACGAGACTGATAGCTCCTGTGTTCGAATCTCGCGAGGTTGGATCGTGGATCTGCACTGCTGACGAGTCCCACAATAGGACGAAACGGCCATCCAGTGCTTTCGGGTTTTACATGGTAGTCTAGCTTCAATTAGATCATGAGCTCAACTATTAAAATGAATGCTTTAATCATTAATTTAAACAATAATGTTCATTATATTCAATAGTCAATAATTTCACTTACTTTTACTTTATCTGTATTACACCAAGCATCTCTACAACAACGAGTAATTAAATATGGTGAATTAAATTGTTTATTATGACGAATTTCTTTTTTTGTACACATTGTTAAAAAACTATTTGATATACAACCACGACTAATTGAGATACCAGTAATTTCTGTTGATCGATTTATCAATTGTATATGATGATTAGTTGATAATGAATTTAATTCATAAATACTATAACAATAAAATTCTGCTTTACATTCTTTATAACCAAAAGCACGACATTCATCAGTATCACAATGACAAAATATATAACCTGTAAGAATAATAATAATAATTTGTAAATTAGTTTAAATATATACAATATGCATGAATTCTACAACTTTGTAAGAAATAGGTACATGTATATTGAAATGAATAATCCTCTCCTAGTTCGAATAATGTCTTATATATTTTGTTAATGTTTGGCTTGTATTTTCCCATTGAGGTTTAAGACTGCAATTGATCAGTCTGTTATTAGCACATGTGCATACTGTACGTATGCCTCGATATTACCTTAATTCACAAGCTATTTGTAAGCAATGATGGATAGTGGCTAGCAGTGCAATCCAGGACTCGCATTTCGTCCTATTTAAGACTCGTCAAATGGATGTACCAGACTGATGAATGCAGTCTTAAACCTCAATGGGAATATACTAGCCAAACAATATCAAGTAAATTCAAATTCACCCCATTGCACAAGCAAGGGGATATTAGTACTCAGTAGCTGAGTGGATAACGCGATGGCTTTTGAAGCGAATGGTACTGAATTCAAGTCCCAAAGTGAACATCAACTCTGAAATGCAGGTACATCCAGCGGACGAGTCTCAAATAGGACTAAACGCTCGTCCTGGATTCCACTGCCAGCCACAATCCATCATTGCTTACAAATGTCTTATACATTTCATTATGATAAAAGATTATTTCTTACTAGTTTAAGTAAGTTTAAGTACTTCATAAAGCATCTGATTTAAAACTGTTTATCGAATTTTTGTTAGTCGATATCATTATATCATTATGGTTCAAAATCGTTTGTATTGGCGTAGGTGCATCCACTTTTTGTGTTCTCCCAAATTCTAATCTTTTAAATTCTTCATGTCCTTTGTTTTTCTCTTTCCAAATTTATTTCACTGAATTATACTCCTTGAATAACATCTTCAAACCCTAATGTTTACGATTACTGCTTATACTTTTATTACCTCTATCAATATGGGAATTGAATCGACAATTGTATCTGTGTGCTAATATGTTATGGCAACTCAAACTGATGTAAGTATGTACGAATTTCTACGTTGTTACTGACTGACTGACTGACGATATCAATTTTTGAATTATGAAAGCGGTTATTTATTCATTAAAATAGCATAGCTACATCAGTATGTCAATCAAAATTTACTCATCTATAACAAGACACGTATATCTATATCAGGTAATAGATGAAGTGTTACAGAAGATCATGAATTGATTGATGTTAGACATTAACATTGTTTCATACTAGTCCAATGGTCTGGAGGTTAAGTATTCATTCAAGAGAACTAATGTCCTAGGTTCGAGTTCAGTTGGTGTGGAATTGTGGATGCGCACTTCTGAGGAGTCTCATACTAGGATGAAACGCCAGTATAGTGCTTCCAGGTTTGTTTTAGATAAACTAGTGAATTCAAATTTGGAAATACTACAATCTGCACAAATCCATGTACACAAAAGCATATAGGTTGAAGAATTTCTCATTATTGGAATAAATTCAAAGAAAATATAATATATTCTACTTGATGGAAAATAAAATGAAATATTTATAATAAGCATATTATAAATACAATACCAGTGGGATAATTGTATTGAAGCATAGACAAGTTCAAACGATTTTGAAGAACTTCGAACAAAAGACTAATTTCTAGTTACAGTATTAATGTTCTGAACTGTACTCAACGCATAAAAATATATGAAACATTTTACAGATTATGTTCCTGTGTAATTCAGTAACCATGCCTAGATAAGCTCATACACTGGGCTTTGAGAGGTGAATTTTACTGATCTCATAAAACTATCTGATTGTCTTCGAAACTATGGAATAGTTTATAACAATCACATCTCGCCTGACACTGCTTAAGAAATACTCATAATCGTGAATAGATCACATTCCATTGGTGAATGTTTATTAATACTGAACATACTGTTCGAACTTCATTTTTTGCGGATATTTTAAACTTATCCCTGGTTGATCTAATTCATTTAAATTATATTTATCCAAAACATTAGAACGTAAAACAACCTAGTACATGAATAAGGGAAAACCTATCACATTAATGCTTGCTGTTATTGTTCTATCCTGTCAGTTTTTGTTATGTTTCTCTAGTTGTAAGTGATTATAATTATTTTGCAACAATATTGAAATTTCCCCTAGTTACACAATTTATACTATGACAGAACGTTTCAATTCTCTAATTAAGAATAAGTGAATCCAAACTGCTCACTAATATTATTTCACTTCATGGGACATATCCTCACAAAACAATTTACGAACTATATCCTTTAAAACAACTTAACCATACATCTAATATTGGGTTTTATAATAATCTGACCATGCCCGTAAATTAACATACATTTTGTTATTATTTTTTAAATACTATTTATTTAAACTGAACTAGGTGAAGCGATGTCTGAGCATGTAAACCGGGAGTTGGAATTTATGAACTTTAGGCAGTAAATAATCCTTTATATTTTCAATAGTTGAGATCATCAGTCAGTTGAAGCTAGACCACCATGAAAAACCTGGAAGCACTGGACGGTCGTTTTGTCATAATATGGGACTCCTCAGCAGTGCGCATCCTTGATTCCGCCTACGGGGTTTCGAACCCAGCAACTTTCAGTATCGCGCTCGAGCGCTTAATCACTAGACTACTGAACTAGCCGGCATCCAACGGTGTTAATCTCTAATTTCAAATAATGCACGAAATTTTCATTTATAAGGTTTATTATTCCAGTTCAGTTCATATTTACTTCTAGCATTGATTGTTCCTTGTGAATCATTTTATAGTTTACCTGACAGAAAGATGAAACATGTCCTAGACACATTAAGTTTCAGCTGATCTCGTTAATTTCATAATTAATTTAACATAAAGTAAAAAAATACAAAGTTACTAGTGATGTAATAATCCTTACAAATATAATTACAGTCAAGACGTTTTGAAAACAAATTAGGCATTTTTTCCCTTTAGCTGGATCCAAAATAATATTTAGGTTTGATTTATACGAAAAACATTTTCCACAAATCTACTAGTTGAGTTCCGTGCTATAATGAATTTTCAGAGATAGTGAGATGGTGGAGAAAATTTGTAGCTCAGGTGGATGATTTTGGTGGAGTTTTTTTCTCTGAGCTGGATGGTTTAGTCGTGGAGCTTTCATCGCTCTTCTGAACGACATCATCAGCACAAACTTCAGATAGAAGTGAAGTGTTTGAATTTCTCCATATGTGTCTCAAAGCTTGTTCTGTGCACCTCGACGTTTAAGGTCAATAAGAACCAATCAACGTCGAGGTGCACAGAACAAGCTTTGAGACACATATGGAGAAATTCAAACACTTCACTTCTATCTGAAGTTTGTGCTGATGATGTCGTTCAGAAGAACGATGAAAGCTCCACGACCAAACCATCCAGCTCAGAGAACAAAACTCCACCAAAATTTCAGAGATAGTATTAAGATCATGGTAATAGAGAAATGTCATTTAAATAATATCAGTATAAGAAGATTATTAAGCTTTAGATTGAATCCCGCTAGCGGGATCGTGAATACACACTACTGAGTAGTCCCGTAATGGGACGAAACGGTCGTCCAGTGCTTCCGGTTTTTCAATGGTGATCTAACATCAATCGGCTCATAATCTCCATCTAAATTTTAAATAATATATGAACTTTACAAGAACTTATAATTCTCTGACCATTGCATATTATCATTAATTTGTATTAATCAAAGATTATCTCCAAAAATAATAAATTCAACATGTCAAATAATATAAATGAATCACTGGTTTTGGTAATAGTTTTTAGAAAAAACATCCTTTGTATTAAATCTTGAAATAAGATGAGTGAAATGTAACTAGAAAGAAACTTTGTCAGATTTATGTTTAAGATTTTGAACAATGGGAATACAAGGCAGAATCGAGAACTTTAGGAAGCTTGTTAATCAAGTCAATCACTAACTAATAAACTTATCAATCAATCAGAAAAATCATGGATAACTATTGTATCGAAAATCCGATTAGAGGGAAAAACAAACAAAATAAATAATCAGACAGTGAATGAACAAGAAACAACAAACAATCAATCGATCAAGATCGTTGGAACAGACTGTCAGTTATATGTGGAGAAATTCGAATAGCTTACATTTATATGTAGTTTGTAATGAGGATATTGTCCAGAAATACTAAATTACAGCTCACAAAACACCACCCACATGAGTTACAAATCTCCATAAACTTAAGTTATCGAATGGTAAATACAAACTTTAAAATGTTTATTATCAGAAGGGGATTTGTGAAGGTTTTAGTAATTTTATAGTTGAATTCATGAGTTAAACCACCATAGTGATCAAGTGAGAAGTGACTAGTGGAGTTCAAACGGGTCTGTTGTGAGATAATAACTTACCGAAGACAATGGTGGATGTGTCACTCAATTTTGTGAACTAGTTTAAGTTAGACATTAATACCGTTGGATACCGGCTGGTTCAGTGATCTTGTGGTTAAGCGTTTGTGCACGAAACCGAAGGTCCTGACTTTGTGTCCCACGTGAGGGATTATAAATGTGAAATGCTGAGGAGTTCCATACTATGACGAAACGGCCATCCAGTGCTTCCAGGTTTTACATGGTGGTTTAGTTTTAATTGACTCATGAATTCGACTATAAAATTTCTGAAATGTTTCCCTGTCAATTTTATTATAATTACTTTAATTTAGTTTTATTATTTATTGAAATATATCTCAATAAATGGATGAGTAATTCTAATGAAAATTGATGTATAAAACCAATAAATAGTTAGTAATTATTGCTTCTCAATGTATGAGTTATTTTCAGAATGGGTTGTGTGGAGATTTTAGAAATTTCACAGGTTGAAAACGTGAGTCAATTGAAGCTAGACCACCATGGAAAACCTGGAAGCACTGGACGGCCGTTCGTCCTGGTATGGGATTCCTCAGCAGTGCGCATCCACGATCCCGTACCCCACGGGATTCGAACCCAGGACCTACTGGTTTCACGCGCGAGTACTTACCCACTAGACCACTGG